CTTTTGGATCCAATGTATGAAGATGAAGAATGATAGGTGATTATTGATGGTGCAGCAGTAGAACCATAAATGGAGAGTGCATAGTCCCGATTTAGTAACTCACGTAAACGACAGTTTTCATTTTCTGCATCAAAGTCTCCATCAATACCTGTGAGCCTTTCAAATATGATGTTTAAGATGTCCCCAGTCACAGCTTCACAAGCATCAATCTTTCTCCTTAAATCAGCTGTTGGTGTAACATGAATTCTTATTTCACCGTACAGTCTCATAATGTCATCTTTCTTTTTCTCTAGAATGTCTGCAAGTGATGACATTTGTGTTTCAGTTATGTCTGATTTTAGTTTTTCTCTTGCATCACGTGTTTGGAATTTCCACTGTTCATATTAGGTGGAGAGCCTATTTTCCTTTTTGCTTACTTCTTCCTTTTGATAAGCAAGCATTCTTTCTGTTGGTATTCTGGGACAGTCATAGCAACGAGGTTCAGGTGCCATGCTTTTGGCTTTGCACTGTAGATGTGCCAAGATGTTTTCCTTACATGTGACAGTTTCCTTTATTTCCTGTTTTGTATTTTCACTTGCATTTTGACGCAGGCTTTTATAATCTTGAATTTCTGTTAGCAGATTAGCAGTATGTTCATTAATGTCCTGAAGACTCACAAAGTCCATATTTCTTCCATTTTAAGTGCAACTTTGTTTACTCCTTTATGTATTTACTCAGTTTCCAGACTGAACTCTGTCACCTACTTTCCGTTGCGGGTGTGTCCTAGAGGCCTTGGGACAACGATGGCGGTGGTTGGTCAAACTCTTATGGTGTGTTCACACCAGACGCAAATTCATTGCGCTATTCGTGCGTTACGCACGTATTTGGACGCGTGTGCACTGAGTTTACTCACTTCATTCACGCGTCAAGATTTGTGTTTCAATTCACGTCATTCGCGCGCATTACGTGAATCCAGACGCCGCTGTGTCCGGATCCATGGGATCCCCCAGTGACGCACACAGCTCGGGGCATTCCCCCACCTTCTCCAGGACCATGCCTGGATGACGACCGCTTCCAGCGCTGTTTTTGGCTGATCCGGACTCAGTTTGACTACCTGTTGGAGAGGATTGGTACGAGAATATCTCTCCAGGATACCAACTACAGGCGCTTGCTGGGATAGAGAAATGTTTTTTCCTCGCCACATATAACAACACGGACGAGCGGCCGCCAGCAGGAGTACGTTGACCACAATGACGAGGAGCCAGTGGAGGTTTATCCCGCTAGCATTGCGATAGCTAGCAACTCGGTTCGCTAGCTTGCTAAGTTGAAGAGTGGCATTCTTGTGTGTGAACTGGAGGAGAGGGACAGCCAGTCTGCTGAGCACTGAGATCTGCCCTGGCCAGTGATGTAACTGCTTATCTCCTGGGGTGAGTAAATCAATCAGTATTCACAGTGTAGTTGCAAAAAGATAAATTAATCATGTGCGTAACGTCACCAAAGAATCTCAGCGCTGATTGGCCATCACAGTGCGAAAGACTGCAAAAGTTCAGATTTTTCAACTTGCGCGTCTAATGCGAATTCGCGTCACTTGCACGTTACGCACGTTTTGCAGGGCGAGAATCGTGTCATTCACGCGAAAAACTCGCTCAATTCACGTCAGTCGTGCCGTGCTAATCGCGCAAATAGGGCCGCAGGACGCTTACTCACGTCTAATTGCGTCTTCACATTGACTTTTTTAAATCATTCGCGTGAATGATTTTACTGGTGTGAACACAGCATTACTGTAGCGGCTCAGCCGAAATGATGAGAAGCCTGGACTGATGATCTAACACTTTTTATTTTCTCCTCCCTTTCTCCCATGACCAACTGGCGCTTGTTGCCCTCTCGACTGCCGATAAATTAATTAATCTCTCCTGTTCGCCCTTTTATCTGTTTGTTTTGTCTCTGAACTTTACGTTGCCATTACTGTACCGTTGGCATCTACTGTTACATTTTTTAGGTTCCTGTAGTTTCCGTCTGATGTCCCTTCAAAATAAAAGCACTTCCGTTTTACGTTAAATAACGAAATTAAAACATGAAACATTAATACATGACAGATTCAAGTTAACACATTAACTAATGAAGTAGAATAATAACAACATCCAATAACGACTGAATAAGTAACATTGGAGTTACTTACAGTATGTATTGATGTATTCCATTCTAAGCACAAGTGCAGTATAGCATTGTAGCAGGAAAACAGTAAAGGGGAGTCACTGTTTAACTCTAATTATAGATCATCTAGGTGGCATTGAATGCATTTTATTTCTCTATCTCGTAGCTGCAGCTATCAGATAAATGCAATTTAAGTCAAAATATAATGCAAAATGCTAGTAAATCAAAATGTCACTTGAGTGCAGCACTTGACTCCGCTCTTGCAGTCATTCAGCTCAGTCCTCCTGAGTAAATCAATGTCAACACCGGTGAGATCATGACACATCAAGGCAGATCTCGAGGAGATTGCTTTATCTTTTCTTATTATATGTCATTATTCTGTCCCGTCAAACTAAAAGCACAATGGTGGAGGTGTAGCGTCACATGTCACTGTTCCCTCGATGGAGGCTCAGGTGCAGGACATTTAGTGCAGCACAGCAGGCTCCTGATGAAGGGAACAGTTACAGATCTTAAATTAGTAACCTTTAGCCCTGACCACCTGCGTATCCACGATGACAGCGATGGAGTAAACACAGCAAGATATCAGCCAACTCAGAGTAATGTTCTTATTATCTCTATACAGGAGTAAACCCTTTCCCTATAAAGCAGTTTTACAAGGTGCCTGCACCAATGACCACGCCCAGAGCTGCTCATGTCAACGTCTGACACCCACCGCCCACCCCCACCTCCCCTCCATGTGGAGCGATGTAGCCGCAGTGTTATACAACACCCTGCTGCTTCTGCTGGGAACCTTGCTTTTGTCCCACCCCTTACTATGGACCTAAGTCTACACGATGAACCTGCTGCTGAGTTATCATCTCTCATGATGTCCAGAGCGAATGAACCAGAATGTGAGAGTAGATGAGCTGCTACAACTGCACCTGTGCTCGATGTAGAATAAGTCAAAAACAGGTTGCATGCGATAACACAGATTTGAAGACAACTATAATAATCATCCAAGAGTAATGCACTTAGGTTTTAATCTGTGATGTGGTGAATTCAAAATTCATGAGAAATATTGCCAAAGTAAATGCAGCTTTTGCACAGTGTGATAATAATATAAATAAACAAAAATAACAACAGAAAAAACAACAACTTTGCAAATCACTACTTTGCAAAACTCAAAGTTGGAAAGATCAGGCAACTATTAACAAAATCCAGCATATGTATGTTTCTCACCCTATTGAATGACACATTGTCTGACCTGAAGTATTTTCATATTAAATAAATACAAAGATGGTGCATCATCATATTAGACTGGGACCAATGTGAAGACCTGCAGTTACATAAAGGTGAAGGAGACCGATGAGTCATGAATAAACCTAGGTCTTAAAGCATGGCTGAGCTGACTGGTTAGAAGCACTGCAAAGCCATTTGTCTCTAAAAAATGTACGCCTCTAGGTTGAATCGGTGGTTAAGCTGTAGACCATTTACAGTAACCCCCACATCCTTGGCTCCTTTGTGTTATGTCTTCCCCCTCTCTAGCTCCACGTGTTTCTATTGTCACTGCTGATACAGGCTTAAAATGCATACACAGAATACTCAGCATGAATCTTTTACATTTATAGCTCCAGAAATTATTCAGTTAGCTGATCAAAACAACAGTAGGAAGTCTTTTTTGAACCAAAAATGTTCCTCATTTGTCAGTTGTCAGGTTTTCTTTCTCTTGTATGATCACAAACTGAAAATCTTTAAGTTTTTAACTATTGTTTGGACAAGGCATCATTGCAGCTTCTGGAAACATCTGGGGTTTTTTTTGTTTGTTTGTTTGTTTGTTTTTAAACAGATAAAGCTAATGATGGATTTTACAGGTAGCAACATCACATTGTCCGTGCAGGTTGTTGGGACACTCGGGACAGGGTTAGGGGTTGTGTGGAAGCCAAGTGCCACCATCTGGTACAACGTGGTACACATCTAATTATAAATGAAAACACACAAGCAATTTTCAGCTCGACAGAAAAATTGATGGAATCTTCAAATCTATTAAATTAAATTTGCTGGTCCCAGGCTTTCAGATATGATCATTTGATGCTATTCTTTGTCATTAATGACAGGAAATATAAGTTCTTTTGGTTTTGGGCTGCTGGTCAGAAAAGAATAATGCATACAAAGGTTTCTTTGGGCTCTAGTGAAATATAATATGGATTTTAGAGACAAAACATTTTGTAGGTTAGTGGAGATAATTAGTTACATATGTAACTCTATTGCTTCACTTGTGCTTCTCTGGTCATTTTTCTTTTCCTGTTTGGCCTGACTGGCCTCGTGAGTATCCTCCTTTTTTGACCTGTCTGTGAAGCATTTTGTAAACCCTATTTTTAAAAAGTGCGATAAAAATAAAGTGTTTATCTATTTTAATTACCAAAGCTGTCTTGAATAGTTCACACTTGGACCTTCCTTACATATCATGTTTTTCAACCTTCTGGTAATTTACTATCATCACATTTAGCATACGTGATTAAGTACTTCTATGTGCGTATGACACATATGTAAACACATGGCTCAAATGACCAAAATAGTTATGTGTATTATCTTATTTTCCCAACAAGCAGGAGTTAAGATCATAATTACTGTTTAAATGTGTATGTTAGTTGATTCTTAATGGAATAAAACATTTTTTCATTATTTATTGTTGTGCATGTTAAACACGTACACGTAGTACTACTGGGGCAAAATTAGATGTTCAGGTCGTTAAACTGTTTTTACTTCTGCAGCCTGCAGGGGAAGAGGGCGGGACTTCTGCACTGCATCAAATGATGTTTTTCAGTAACGACCAATCAGGTAGCCTGATCTTGCCCCGTCGGCGTTTTCCAATTTTTTCTCTCCTCGCACATGCGCATTTCATTTCGAAGATGGCGGCCGTACAAAGTGGTGTCGGCGACGGGGTTGAAGAAAAAGACATAAAAACAGAACCGCCGACCGATGGCTTCGGAAATAACGCAAACGACGGCAGGGTGCTGTCTTCGTCTCCCGGCTCCAGCGCTCCGGCTGCAAGCGGCAAACCTGCAGCTGGAGGAACCCCGGAGGACCAGCAGACGCTGCTGGCAGTTCTGCAATTCCTCAAAAAGAACAAACTGACCGAGTCTGTCGAAATTTTGCGTCGTGAAGCGGGATTACCGGAGGATGCTCAGGATGCGAAGGGAGCTGATTCATCTGGTTCAGGAGGTGCTGCGGGCAGTGTGGACTTAGAAGGCGGGGATGCGAGCGCTCTTCTCAGCCGGGTGACCGTCTCATCCTCCGCCGCAGCTCAGGCGCCAACCAAAGGTACGATCCAGTGTGACTGCTGCCGCGTTTGTATGTGAAACACTCATTTAAACGCCTCCTATTAATGTAACATCATCGTCGCGTTTATTACGTCTGTTTCTTTCATTGTGAACAAGTAGTTACACATTCACAGAACCAAAAAACTACACTGCGACGGTTACACACGTCTCTATTATTGTCTTTGGACTTCAGAGATACACTAATTAAGTTTTTTGAATACCATTGACCAGTATTTCCCCATTCATATCAGTAAATACAACTGTCTATTTGCAAATGTTGGGGCAAACCAATGGTGTTTTTCAAGTGTTTAATAGTATAGCATAGTATTTTATAACAATGTCCAAGTTTGACTGAATACTTAAAATTCTTGAGCTCTCTCAAGTTAAACAGACATTTTTACATTCATTGGTGTAGATTTTGTTGGAATTTGTGAGGGCAACAAAATAACTAGAGTGTTTGGGAGTCCAGATCTAGAAAATGCTGAGCACAAAACAGTTAATTCTGATAATTTTCTGTGCAATTGCTGAATCAATTTATGTTTTAATTGTCATTATTTATCCAAAGGAAAACACAAAACATGAGGTTAATTCAAAATCTAATGGGTTATAATGCCGTAGGACTCTAAGGCATTTTGTATTGCTTTTAAACATTTATTCTACTGCTCATCAACATTTCTAACTTAATAATATCCCCGCTAGTAATAAATGAATAATACTCCTCTGTTCTCTTGGTTGTATTTTGTTTTTGGGAAGTAACATTTTAAAATTTGCATGTGGTGCGTTTTCACATCAATTATTAATTTTAGTTACTCTATACCTCTCAAGACTCTGATAGCTCATGATCAAAAGTTTTCTGCACATTCAGAACTAATCTGAATTATTTGATCTCAAATCATCAGGGGCCTTCTGCTCAATCATCTCTGATTGTATTAATCTCTAACTTGATTCATCTCTGACTGGTTTTTAAAATCACAAACAAAAGATATTTAAAATGGCATCTGAAAATGTTTATAATTATAGATCAGGTACTTTCTATATTCTTAATTGCCTGTAGACCCACTTTCAGCATGACATTTCTCATCATGCCAATGACTCATAATCTAGACAAGTAGAACAAATAATCTCTGACTGTTGGTGAGTTGAAATATAAATAATTGATGCTGTCATGAAAAGTCCCATCTTTGAGCACACATTAACAAAAAAAGTGAACTTGTGATATTTTCTTAACCATATGTATTTGTAAACCTTTATATGTCTTAAAATATACACAATACATTTAAAAGTGAAATATTTCATTACAAAAAAAAAAGGTTATTTTCATTTAATTTTCATAACTTATTGAGCAGGTGTGACAAATTGTACCAGAGAAAAAACAATATTGCTAAATAGCCTAATCCAAGTAGAACAGAGTTTAAAACTGGGAAAAAAATAACATCTGTGTCTGATGATGCTGTTAGAACTAATAAATTGCTGATATAAATACATATCTCACTCTTTCAACAGTAGCTGCGGAGGATCAGCCAGACGTCAACGTGGTGCTGTCAGCGTACAGCCAGCAGGGAGATCCAGCTCTGTACGAGGTCTACTACAGTGGCCTGAAGAGGTTCATAGAAACTGTTTTGGACTGTCACAGAGCGGAGCTGTCTCAGGTCTTCTACCCGCTGTTTGTCCACATGTACCTGGAACTAGTGTACAACAATCATGAAAATGAGGCCAAGGCCTTCTTTGAAAAGTGAGTCCCCCTATAATGTTACAATTCCAAACACACAGTCCACTTCCTGCACACTTCTGCAACCTTACGTCTTCCGTTTTTCTTCATCCCAGGTTCAGTGGGGACCAGGAGTGCTACTACGAAGACGACTTGCGTGTTTTATCCAGCCTAACAAAAAAGGAGCACATGAGAGGCAATGAGACTCTCCTGGATTTCCGCACCAGCAAGTTTGTCCTGCGCATCTCCCGTGACTCCTATCAGCTTCTGAAGAGGCACCTGCAGGAGCGTCAGAACAACCAGATCTGGAATATCATCCAAGAGCACCTTTACATCGACATCTTTGATGGCATGCCACGAAGCAAGAGTCAGATCGACGCCATGTCTGGCAGCTTGGCGGGGGAGGCCAAGCGAGAGGCCAATAAGGCCAAGGTTGGATTTAAACACCACACAATCATAGGATCTGTGTTGATCTTTTCTCTATATACTTTCCTAGTAACCTTGTGGTTTCCTTGTCATTCAACCTGGTGTAGGTTTACTATGGACTGCTGAAAGAGCCAGAAATTGAGCTGCCTCTTGACGATGAGGATGAGGAGGCAGAGAACGAGGAGGGAAAACCCAAGAAGAAGAAGCCCAAAAAGGACAGCATGGGCTCCAAGAGCAAGAAGCAGGATCCTAATGCGCCATCACAGAACAGGTGGGGATTTTTGCAATCATGTCAGTTGTCATCACAGCTTGCAACCACATGAGTTTTGATGTTGGAGTCTCACTTTCTTTGTGTGCAATGTGGCACCACTAACCCAGGCCCCTTCTTAGGATAGGATTTTGGAGGATTTTGCTCTCCCACAAAGAGGTTTTAGCCAGCACCCAAAAAAATTCACCAGTGCTTAATGACGTAAATCAAACATAATAATAATAATAATAATAATAATAATAATAGTAATAACAATAATCATGTTTGTTTATTACATGATCAGAAATAACAGGAAAAACATTATAAGCCAGGAAAATAAATAGTTGATTTGAATGTTCCAGAATCAGTCACCCAAGTGTAAGGGGAATTTGTTTAGAAGCCTTGTGTTTTAGATTGGACACACCCATTTTCACATTCCCTTTTGAACCTTGGCTGTGGAAATGTGACCAGGTCTACTTGGCCATAACCAAATGTTTGCAAAGCGGGCAGCGATATTTTTTGGTTTTTTGTTTGTTTGAGGCAAAGTGGCAATTGTTTTTATTTTGTTTTTTATTGGGGAAATAGTACAGACAGCAAATGTTAATGTTAAATACAAGTCAAATAATATGTCTGTGGTCTTGAGCATTTATTTGACACATTTACATAATGATCTATAATCAAAAGTGATGTAGCTATTCAACCCTGCGACTAAACGCAACCCTGTTACTCTAATTTCAACCCTGTTACCATATCATTTTAATTTTAAAAAATCATAAATGAATTTCTGGGCTCACAAAGGTTTGATCTATTGACCTTTCAAGAGTTTAAGTATTTATATGCATTGTGTGTTCGAGCAAATATTTGAAAATAAATACTGAAATAAGTAAAGTGAAACATGCTAACATTGAAAAGTTGAAAAGGTAGATTCCAAAAGTTACTTAATTTAATTTAAATCAAGTCATATCTGAAATCCAGTGGTAATTCTGTTATAATTTTACTTTATGTACCTAATGGTAAGGGAATTATACTTAAAAAATAAATTAATCTACCTTTTTCAGGTACCTGAATGTTGGTAACAGGGTGGCGCCAAATATAGCAAATAAAAAATAAAACATATTATAAAACTTATGCCTTTGATCCCTGAGCTGAGCCAATCAAGATTTTTATAGTTGATTACCTATTATTGAAGCTTACATAACAGAAAATTGAAAAAGAGAAGGTTTATTTTTCAAAAATGTTGAAGCCCAAATTGTCCTCCAATTCTGGAATGACTCATTAACGAAAACTGCTAACATCTACATGTGTTGAAGTTTACACTTATTTACAAGCTCTTGCTGAAAAATCTCTCTGAACTTACCAGTCAGTTGCTGATGATGAAATGTTTGTTTGTCGTTGTTTAGAATACCTCTGCCAGAACTAAAAGACTCAGACAAGCTGGACAAGATCATGTACATGAAGGAGGCCACCAAGAGGATCCGTTTGGGAACGGACAACCTCCCATCCATTTGCTTCTACTCTTTCCTCAATGCGTACCAGGTGAAGTCTCATGACCACAATGGCACACTTAATGTTTATGGTGTTTACACGTTGTAGAAAGTGGTAGAGACTGGACACTTAAAGGTGGAGTGAGCGATTTTAATCCAATAAACATTTTGTCAAATTAAGTCAATATATTCCTGCCAGCTGTTCTGTGTGTGTGCACTGAAAAAAAAAAAAATCCACTGTTTGTACTTGCTCCAGCTCTGTAAATTGGAAATAAACGAAGTGGCTTGAATCGATCCATGCAGCTATTCCAGTTATACTATGCACATTCATGCTCCATATTTGACTGGTGAAGAATAATAAAATTAGTTCGCATCCAAATAAGATAATCAGTAGATGGAACAGCGTAATGCAGTGACTGTGGTTTCTTTATGACAACACAGTGCCTGAAAGACCTTTGCCTTTTCTCTTCATTACACCTTTTGAAAAGTGACATGGTGACTGTGCAGTGTTGAAGATAGCTGCACATTCACCATGACGGAGGGAAGATGGAGGACAGGAGGCAGTGAACGTGATAGTAGGGACGATAAATCTGACACATGGTAATTATCTTATCATCTCCTGCAGGGTCTGACTGCCGTTGACTTCACTGATGACTCCAGCCTGATAGCAGGAGGCTTCGCTGACTCCACAGTACGCGTGTGGAGTGTCACACCAAAAAAACTCCGCAAGGTCAAGTCTGCAGCAGGTACGGTGTATGACATCAATTAAGCACATCTGTCGTTATTGTTTATCTAAAAATTTAATTGTTTGCCTCTTCTATTTCTCCTTTTGCCTCTTAAGACTTAAATCTGATTGACAAAGAGTCAGATGATGTGCTAGAGAGGATCATGGATGAGAAGACAGCCAGTGAGTCAAAGATACTGTATGGACACAGCGGCCCAGTTTATGGCATCAGCTTCAGCCCAGACAGGTAAAACTGGACTTAAGCTTAAAAAGACACACTGTATATGTTAGTATCCTGTACAAGTATTCTTAACTGGCCCCTTTTTGTGTTTTAGAAACTACTTGTTGTCAAGTTCTGAAGACGGTACAGTCAGGCTGTGGAGTCTCCAAACATTTACTTGTCTGGTGGGCTACAAAGGCCACAACTACCCAGTGTGGGATACACAGTTTTCCCCCTACGGATACTATTTTGTCTCTGGGGGACATGACAGAGTTGCCCGGTATGTACCAGCAGAATTGATTTCATTATTGTGTGAAATAATAATTTGACACCCTGATCTTCTGTTACACAAGGAAGCATAATGTTGATACCCACCAGCTCTTTCTGCAGATGTCTGTCATTGGTCCATGCTGTTCTTCCTCCAACAGTTTGTGGGCGACAGATCATTACCAGCCTCTGCGGATGTTCTCTGGTCACCTCGCTGACATCACTTGCACTCGTTTCCACCCCAACTCCAATTATGTGGCCACAGGCTCATCTGACCGCACCATCCGTCTCTGGGACGTCCTTAATGGAAACTGCGTCCGCATCTTTACTGGTCATAAGGTCAGAGTTCACCAGAGCTGTTGTCTGTTCAATATCCTTCCAACTACTTAAAAAAAAAAATTAGTCAATTTTACATATGCATTAGTTACAGCACATTGGTCTTTACAGTCATATTATGATAGCCAGATCGGTCATATTATGATAGCCAGATCGGTTGTCTCAAGCAGTGGTTCTCAACCTGAAGGAAGCACATTCCTTCAGGTTGAGCTCAAGGTGCTTCCTGATTTATCATATTTCACTTACTGTGCATTTTAAATCAAATAACAGAGTGGTAGCATTTATATTAACTACATTTTAAGTTGTGTTTTGAAAAATCAATACAGAAGAAAATGACAGTAAAAATGTGCAGTTGCCAGTTATTGCAGTAACACATAGTGGTTCTTAAGGAGCTTCAAAATAACAGTGAGTGATTAAAGGATTTCACTTTAAAAACAACTCAAATAAATGCTGATGCAGCTCATCTAAACCTTTAACATAGACATCTGAAGCTTAGCCAAACAGCAAGAGTAAAATAACAGTCTGCAGTGAGCTGACAGGTTCTTGGACAGTTTTTTGTCAATTTTGGGAAGTGGATATCTGCCTGTCAGTGGGCTCATGAATGCAGGTTGTGCATTCTGTTCATATCGGGAATCTCTACATAACAGCAGGCTTGTGTCCCAGTAAAATGCCTGCTAATTTTTATTTATTTTTTATTAAGCCAAACTTCACTTCAACTCTGAAAAAATACATTCACCATTATATTTAACTAATATTTTTTACATTTAGATTTATGCCTGCTTTCATTCATAGTGACAGAATTGGTCTACATGTGCTACTCAATATATAAAATACTTACTGTACCTATGGCTGAAGGTGTTGTCTTCAAAAGTTTGGGAATCAGCGGTTCAAATGTAGTAAATTAAACATTTCTACACTCAAAATCATGTTTTCATTCAGAAAATGGCATTTGAGTTCTCCTTAGTTGGGTATGCACCTTATAATTCAGTCTTTTGTTCGTATCTTCCAGGGCCCTATCCATGCGCTGGCGTTTTCACCAAATGGAAAGTTCTTGGCCTCAGGAGCCACTGACGGCAGAGTTCTGCTGTGGGACATCGGCCATGGACTGATGGTTGGAGAACTCAAGGGCCACGCAGACACCGTCTATTCCCTCAGGTTCAGCAGGGATGGCGAGCTACTGGCCTCTGGTGGGTGTTCCACATCTGTTCCCATTTCTTCCCATCAACTAATTAACTTTAAGTCTGTGCAATTACTGAATGTAATCTTAATTTACAAGACCGGTGAAGCAACAAATACCATCACAGCTGGAGTGACCAAGTTTCATTTTGTTCTCAAGGTTCCATGGACAACACTGTTCGTCTGTGGGATGCAATGAAAGCATTTGATGATTTAGAGACTGATGACTTCACGGCAGCTACAGGACACGTCCATCTACAAGATAACTCCCAGGAGCTCCTGCTGGGCACCTACATGACTAAATCTACACCCGTCATACACCTTCACTTCACTCGGAGGAACCTGCTTCTGGCCGCTGGAGCCTACAATCCTTAAGACATTACTGTACGATGAGAAAATTATGAATGAAGGGTTGAAATGATGCAAACCTCTAATCCCTGAACACCACAACTAATTGAAGAACTTTGTGATGCATTGGGAGTAAAACTGTATTACGAGTTCCACATTGGCTAACATCGAGCTGTGAATGAGTATAAAAATTAGTTTACGGTTTCTATACATCACTGCCATGTATAAAGCTTTGCTCAAAATGTGGCCGACATTTCTGTAACATAGTATTTTATACTGGTGCACACTGTAAATAAAACAAAGTGTTTTCTATGTTTTGGGCATAAGTATTCTTTATTGTTAACATGGCGAAACCAAACAATCACATTTTATTACAAGCATGTCCAGCTGCTTTCTCCGCTCCGAGCTGTGAGAAAATATGGTCAAATGGAAACCTGTAAGGAGACAAGAGGGACTTAGAGTTAATAAAATGGAGAAAAGCCACAATAGATTTGGAAAAAAATAAACAATGGAGACATTGGTGCACTTACATAATCATTTTTCTGTGACAGCGGCCTGTTTCTTGGGCTTCAATTTGAAGAACAGAGCAATGGCTGCTATAGTGGCATATGTGGCCAAAACACACTAAAAGAAAAAACAAAGAGGCACAAGTAATTGATAAAAGTGTGATTTGTAGGCTACTTGACTGCTACAGTTTTTAAAAAAAAACGCAACTTACATTCCTCCTTCCTACGATTGTGTATGAATTGAAGTACTTGGCGATTCCAGTGAACTGGTGTTGACCGCCAGCGTCGTGTCCTCCCATGATGGATAATAAATGGTCCTACCACAAGCCAAACAGTATACGAGTGATTGATACGCTAAAATAGGAAGACCACTAACAATTATTTTTGTTGTGGATGATTTTCTCAATTTAATCGATTAGTTTGATCCATAAAATATCAGGATATGGTGAAAAATGTCCAGTTGTTTCCCATAGTCTAAGAGTACGTCCTAAAATGTCTTGTATGGTCCACAACCCTTAACTATTCAGGTTACTTTCATAAAGGAGGAAAGACTCCAGAAATATTCACACTTAAGCTTAAATCAGAGAATTTAGACTATTTTTGCTTCACAAATTACTTTGGTTTTAAAAATCGTTGGTGATTAATCTGACAGTTGACAAGTAACTGATTTAACTTTGCATCTCGACTATACAGACAGATAATGCCAAATATCCTTGACCTTGGAAACGATGTGTGTGGTAAATTAATCTGGAGCTCAAATGATGACTTCTGATTCTTGCACTTTTTGAAAGTAGTCTTTGGCTATGTTAATTTAAACAACTTGATCAGACAAAGAAGGACACCTGGGATACTGATGGATATTTTTCACAGTTTTCTGAAATTTCATAAATTTCACCTTGTACAATAATGACAGCTAAGAGCACATTAGTAAGAAAGTCTTATTTTTGGTTCACCTAACATAATGCTTTTGTATTTATATTCTAGCAACTGAAATTACTGGCGTTATTATTACATAATATAGTTTGCAACCTTTGGGTACTTGACACGACTTTGGATCAAATCCGATAGACGATGTCAACATACTTTTGCACAAAACTCCAGTTCAGTTTAAAAAAATAATAAAAAATCAACATGTTCTTCTGAATATATTAAAAATAAAATAATGCTGTTCAAAACTGTACTATTAGCTGACATGTCATTCACTTTGATCGGGAAGACGCTGCAAAGCTTGGTAGCAAGCACACTGTACATTAAGTTAGCGTTAGCTTGCTCAGTTAGCCTGCAAGCTAGTTTAATTTTGAGACCAGTAGCTCAATAGCACATTGTCATAGATGCAGTTTAAAGACACTTTAGGCTTTACTCAATCCAAAATCCAAAGCGAATGAACTAGTTTATTTCTAAACGTATTTCAGCTTACCTTTAACGCTCGACCCCTGTACAAACAGAATGAGACAGATGTCCTTCACTAGAGGCCGCAAAGCTAGATTCGCCAGGAAGTCCCGCCTACTCCCAGCAAACCAATCTGGCGACACTATTGGTCCAAAATAATGTCCCTCAAGCAAAACCTCAAACACTATCACTGAATGGCTAAAACTAGTGCCAATCATCCATTCTTCTCTGCGATTGGACCAAAGATAAACCGCCCATATGAGTTATTTCTTCCGGGTCGCCACCATGGCGTGTTGCTGAACACGTGAGTTTTGGTGTCCACAAACCGGTGATTTAATGTGAGTATTTAGTAATATTAAATACAAACATATGTTTAAATGTTGTTAGACTTTATCTGGAAACGCTTTTTTTTGTTGCTAGCGGCTTGGCATATATTTGTTTAATATACATTAGCACCAGAGTATGCAACAGTTAGCTATGTTGTCGTTTAGTTCGGGGTTAGGGTTGCTATATTGATGTACTGGAGAGATGCAGCGAATCCAGGTGGACTCGATATAGATAAATTTGAACATCTAGCGCTCAGGCTTTCAGTGACTTTGTATTTGTGCATCTGTAACACTTTAAAATAATCACCTCAAAATTTTGATTTACTCACTGACTTGTATAATCCTGTAAGGATCACCTTTGTACTTGTGGAAAGCAATGTGTTTATTTATAGTCTTTTAGAGGTTTAGAAAACTTTTGATTTGTAGTGGGCTTAATTTTGTCAGACATCTAAACCAATAAACATGGCATCAATGGAGGAGGACTTTCCTCGAGGAGGGACAACGAAGAAGCCCAGTGAGAGTAAAAGAGTGGTGCAGCGGGCAGAAGTGGACAACTTGTTTCAGGTAGAGTTCAACTCCTTTCTTTCTCTTGCTGCATCTGACTGCAACACCTCTATGTTGTCAAGCCCAGTCACTGTTTGTGACTCTGATGAAATGGTGTAATTTTGATGATATTTATTTATTTGTTTTTAGATAACATGCCTTTCAAACCTGCTGATGGGTTTTGGGGTTCAGAGGGCAAATGCACTCTGTTGTATAAGTGTGACTGTATATTGCAATTTTAGAAGGTGTCAGTAAAAAGTACTTCATATTGAGCACTTCTTGCAGTCAGATGAAAAAGCAGAAACTAAGAAAAGAAAGGGGGCCACCAAAGATGACAGCAAGAAGCTCAAGAAGCAAAAGACAGATAAGAAACAAACAGATGGCCTGACACTCAACGCAGCTGCCAAATGTGTGGAAATTCTGCATATCAAGGTAAAACATTTGTCTGTAAACGATGTATTTTGATAGTTTGTTAGATGTGTGTTAGATAGTATCACACAAGAACAGTTTGGTAGGATTTGGCAGGGTGCTCAGCTCAGTGTCTGTCTATTTCTTTTTCTCAGAATGTGAAAGAGGGCACGCTGATGCTGGGCTCTGTGAAGGATGTGACAGACTTTGAGGTGACAGTCAGTCTGCCTTGTGGCCTGCAAGGCTTCCTCAGCATCAAGAACATCTGTGACTCGTACGCAAAGCTGCTCACTGAGCAACTGGACTCAGCTGATACAGAGGTAATAATAATAATACATATATTTGTATAGCACTTTTCCAAAACTCAAAGACCCTTTACAGGATAAAAGAACAATAAAAGCAACTAAGGCCGGCTGATTGAGTGAGGATTTGAACATTGTGGAAAGTGTGAATTTGGCTCAGTTTGTAGGGCAGGTTCACAGTTCAGAGTAATGCATATGAGTCTACAATGGTGTTATTTTCTCCACGCTGTTCATACAACACATTCCAGGATGTTTTGAGATACATTTCTGTATTTTTACTTCACAGGAAATCTGCTCTTTGCCACACATCTTCCACCCTGGCATGGTGCTCAGATGTGCTATTGCCAAGTTGGATACAACTAAGAGAGGATCTCTTAGTATCCAGCTGTCTGTCAATCCAAAGCTGGTCAACAAAAGTCTCGCCTCAAGTTCTCTGAAAGCTGGCATGGTGAGCCACTAAAGAGCATCATCAGTGAAGCAGTTATTTAATTGTGAAAACATTAATCACTAAAACTGCATGTATCATATTGTTATTTGTGATTTAGGTCTTGACTGGGTTCGTGGAGAGTGTGGAGGATCACGGCTGCATAGTTGACATTGGCATTAATGGCTCTAAAGCTTTTCTGCCTAAGAATGCCATAAAAACCAAACAGAACAACCCAGGAGGTATGGAAATATTTTTTGCACACATTTTGGAATATAATCTTTGTTAGCTGCATTCTTCTTTTTTGTACATAGTAGAATTTTGTGCCACACACTTTTTCCCTGTTTTAGTTTAGTAAAAACTACTCAGGAATCTGTGTGTTCTCTATTTGTACAGAGCTGAAAGCGGGTCAGTATGTGACTTCTCAAATAGAAGAGGTGAAAAACGATGGACGTGTGGTCCACCTTTCTGTCAACCCTGCTGCCATCGCCCAGGCCTGTGCTGAAGCCAAGCAGGGCTGGAACCTCACCAACCTTCTGCCGGGCCTTCTGGTCAAAGCTACCATCAAGAAGGTAGAGACCAATGCCTTGAGAATATAATATGAAAACATCCACTGTCCAAACATGTCCAGTCGACTACTCTGCCATTATGACAGCTTCAGTTAATAAAGTCTGCATGTTGGTCTTGTAGGTGACCAAACATGGTCTGCTTCTGGACTTCTTGTCCTCCTTCAGTGGCCAGGTAGACATCCTCCACATGGAGCCAGGACAGACATCGAGCTACACCGAAGGAGCTCAGGTAAAACTGGCCTGGTGTGTCCGACACAGTGTTTGTGTTGTTGTATTGTTTTTCTGCCATGTGCCAATATGAGATAAAAACCCCTCTTTTTGCATGCATCCACCCAGGTGCAGGCCCGTGTGCTGTATGTGGAACCATCGTCCCGTCTGGTGGGACTGAGCCTCCGCAGCCACCTCGTTCATCCTGGGGCTGTGGTGGAGACGTTTCCTGCTGGTGGGGACCGGATTGGTGAGGTGATACATGAGTGCAAGATGACCGCTATGCACCACATGTCTGGAGCCATGTTGGAACTGCCGGACAAAACACCAGCCTTTGTGCATGTGAGTCTTTTGATAATATTAAATGCTGCCTGTAAGTATTCAGCCACTGCAGGCTTGGGTTGATTTAATTTTGTTGTCTGTGTTGGCAGATTAACCACCTGAAAGAGTCTCATGGGTCAGCTAATGAAAACAGAGTGTTTGCCAAGCCTGTGCACACCTGTAGGGTTCTGGACTTCAGCCCCATGGACCAAATTCATTTTGTTAGTTTACGCAAGTATGTCGCACCTAACTTTTGTGTCTTATTCCACAGTAAGCATGGATCTCACTGTTCTGATGTAATGTATTGACAACTTTCGTTTGATTCCAGGAGTATAATTGCGAAGCCTTTTTTTAGATACCATGATCTTCAGGCTGGTCAGGTTGTAGAGGTAAGAATAAAAAAACATCGTCTTTTACCTGTCAATCATGGACTTGAACCCAGTTTTTGAAAGATTTGTTTAAAGAAATAGAAGGCGCGCTACTTCAGCAGAATAATAACGTTAAATAAGAAAATATAACAGGAAATTGGGCCATAAATTATAAGATTAGGACTGAAAGACTGTCTAGATCAATTCTCTCTGTGCAATGACCACATATGTAACACCATGGATGTATTTAGGCCAATATGGAAAATCTTTAAATCAGTGGGAAAGAGGATACATTCTTTATCTCCATCTTTGCAGCAAAATTCCTCTTTGTGCATCTTATGGGCATGAAACCACAACAAAATGTGAATAATAATCATTCTTAAAAGTGATGCTGAATGCCTGTGAGCAGTGGACTAACCTCTGTTGAAATTGCTGTAAAACTACCTGTTTAACTACCTTCTCCTATTACTTTTTTTTTTTATCCCGTGTCTCACATTCGATTAACATCCACGTGTATGTTCTTTCAGGGGACAGTGTCAGTCCTGCTGAATCATGGCATGGTGGTGCATCTGTCCGACCACATTAAAGGCCTGGTGCCTCGGACGCACATTTCTGATGTCGTCCTCAAGAACCCAGAGAAGAAGTACGTGGAGGGCATGAAAATCAAATGTCGGGTCAGTGCACTTTATTTAAACTTTCCAAAACCCCAGGCAGTTTCTGGGTATTTTGTTGCTCCTGTGACTTCTTTACTCGCTGTGGTCTCATTTTTCACTTCAATGTAAAGTCCTGTACCTCTACAGAAACAGCACAGCGATGACTAGAAATAGAAAGAACTAAACCTCTCGTGAAGTATGACAATGTCATAAATGATAAAGAAAAACGATTGAATTCCTTTGAATATTTATTTATTACAAATTGAAATTACGACATTTTTCCAATTGTTTTTGAATGTTAGCAGTACTGGGAAAAATAGTGGCTCCACATAATATGCATATTTAACTACTTACATTTTATAATACTTTGCATGCATGTCTCCTGTCTGCTCTGTGTAAACACAGCCTGCAGTTTAGCCAGAAAGTCCCTGATTTTTTTTGTAGCATGACTGTCTCAGCTACGTCACTAATTCTTGTCAGTTGCACCGAGGAGTTCAGAATTTTTGTCTCTAACAGAATCTGGTTACTGCAAATTATTGGTGAATTTTCAATGACGCATGTAGAACGAATTGATTTTGAAGAAAATCACAATTTTAACATAACGTGTTTGTGTTTCCAGGCCGGCCAAATGGCACTTCACCGATGAGTCATTCAGTGACTTTAGGAAAAATCAATATCTGACCATTCTTTCTGTTTTTTTTTTCAGTGACTTGCTCTGATAAATGCTCTAATTTTGCAGATTCAAAAAACTTGTATACATGTTTTTTAAGGACAACCTAACAGAGGGTTAAAGCCACTGACAAAAATCACAGGAATAACCAGACTACTTAACTGTGTGGCCAGATTATCATAAAATTTTTCATATTTGTCCTATTCTCTGGTGTTTGTGTGTGAATATGTGCCTTCAGGTGCTGTCAGTGGATGCAGAGAATAAGAAGCTGTACCTGACCAGAAAGAAGGCTCTGGTTGAAAGCTCCCTGCCATTGTTCCTCAGTTATAATGATGCCCGTCCCGGCCGAGTGTCCCATGGCTACATCGTGTGCATCAAAGGCTTTGGCTGCATCGTCCGTTTCTACAATAACGTCAAGGGTCTGGTACCAATCCACGAGCTCAGCTCTGAGCCCATCATCAATCCTGAGGAGGTTTTTTATGTCGGGCAGGTGAGGAAATCAGATACTTAGAATCATCAGTCTGTTTTTAACTTGTGGTTTGAGGTTGAATATGTTTGAGAACCATAATGTGTTTGATTTGGCATCTGATAAGTAGCTGATGTTTGGAATGTTTGATGGTTCAGGTGTTAAAGGCAAAAGTTCTTCAGTGTGACCCCGAGAAGGCAAAGATGGTGCTGTCATTTAAAGCAGCGCTGGAGGGGACAATTGAGGACGCTACCAATCCTCAGTTTGACTGTGAGGTGGGGCAGGTAAGATGAATTTCTTGTAGTTGGTTTGTTTTTCTTTCCATTTATCTCAGTGGATCAATTTTTTTCTCATCTTCTATTTGCAATGTTTTTGTGGTGCAGAGGGTGGAGGCAAAGTTGTTGAAAAAGTCAGTCAACGGTGTGGAAATGGCCATCCTTCCCAATGATGTCCGTGCTTCACTACCCATGATGCACCTCTCTGATCACATGTCCAACTGCCCTTTGATGTGGGAGAGTCTGCAGGAAGGAGACATCATCTCGAACCTCGTCTGCATCAGCAAGAACAAGCAGAATATTGTATCCTGTTGTTTTTATTGGTTTTGCACAAATGAAAAGTTCACCTCAACACTGCTTTGATTTAGTGATTCTATACAGTATGAAATATGTTCTTGTTCTACCAGGAAAGCAAGTTTACACATAAATACCAGAAAAGTTTTCCTTAGCTGCTTCTCATTTAAAGATTCTCACCAAGAAACCAACAGTGAGATGGTCTCTGGAGGAAGGACTGGCTGCCAAAGACTTCTCTGAGATCACAGTTGGAACTCAACTGTTCGGATGGATCAAGAACATTATGTCCTACGGTGTCTTTGTAGAGTTTCCGTACGGCCTTGTTGGTCTTGCACCTAAATCGGTGAGTGAACGGTTTTAAATTATTAACCTGAAAATATCTACTTTTGAATCACTTATTCATTTTCCCCATTAACCTTTTCTTCTGCTTTTTGTTTTATTCAAGGCCATGACCGACAAGTTCCTCAGTGATACCACGGCTGCCTTCCAGCTGGGCCAGACGGTCATTGCTAAAGTGACCAACCTGGATGAGGAGAAGCGGCGATTCCTGGTCACGCTGAAGATTTCTGAGGTCATTTCTCCACAGGGGGACAATCAGACTAGACTCATTAATGGCCTGCAGGAGAGAAAAGCTGTGGGTGAAATGCTGGCTCGGACAGGTATGCTGTCTCTTTCTATCTGACGTTAATTAGACATTAACAATTGCCTTTACTGTTTCAAAAAAAAAGTCTGAGATCACATTCACAAAACATTAACAGATATGATGATTTGCTCTACTCCATAGACTTTATGTTGAAGGCGGATGTAGCCACTGTCATGTCACTCATTATTACGCATTTTGAATCCTGGATCAAGACCATCAGATTTTATTTGTCACACTGTACTACAAGGCCATGTGGTAACAATAAGAGATGATTTAAAAAAATATAGAAATAATTATAGAAAAATTCCTTAAAAAATAGAAAAAGCCATAAATAATGAGGTAATGAGGTCGAGATTAGAGTCAGACTTGGATTTTGACAATTTGGGCATCACCCTATTTGTTTTTGGGATGATATTTTACAAAAGGAATGTCATGATATTGAAGAAAATCTAAAATTAGCAATTGCGGCCATAACCTCATTAGGAACATGTTTAATGGGGAGAAAGATCAAAAAGAAGAAGGGTCAATTCTCACAATCTGACTTTTTTTTTTTTTTTTTGCAACCAGAGAAGTAGCTTCCCGCTGGCCGTCAAACAGAATGCAAGTTTAAAGCACTTCTATCCTGACTTAATGTTTATAAACCAGAGGTTACATCCATCTTTTATATAGTCTATTGGGAAGGTTCTTATTGTTAACTTAAGATCATCTGCAATTGTGGCACCTCATGTTTTGAGTCATCTAAAGGTTGGTTTTAGTGTTGTGCTGCTCTTTCTTTTTAGGTAACAGTGAACTCCGCCAGCATTTGGCTGCTCTGTCTGTTGGTGAGAAGCTGAAGCTGACCGTGGACACCGTGAAGGAGGGTGCCACATTTATATCCGACGATTTGACCGGTGCTACCATACAGGCCACCAAGCATCACATCATGGGTACATTTTCAACAGGGAACATTTGAACATTTTGAACACCTCTAAAATTCCCAATTTATTGTCTATAAATATGTGAAATTATTTTAGGAATTTCTTGTGTTTCCAGTTACTTATAATCCATGCAATTACCTGACTTGCACAATAGACCAGACTCGTAGGTGTTTAATCAATCAATAAATCAATCAATCAGAACGTTATTGTCATTGCACATACAGAGCAACAAAATTTACTTTACAGTTACATCCCGTCCAAACAGGAGGGAGAAACTGTCGGGTCAGCCAGCATGAGCAGTGCCCCTAATTATTTCAACCTAAATGTTACATTACTGGTTAATTAATTCTGTTGCTTTAGAGCTGAAACAAGTAGTTTAATGTTGTTTGTAATTAGAATAAGTTGGTAATTTGTGTTGTTTGGACTGTAAATATGATCAAACAAGCTTTTTGAAAAGTTCAACCGACTTTAGGAATTATGATAGTCATCTTCACTATAATTTTATATAGCAAAGAATTCGTGAAAATAATCTAATAATCTGCATATTAGTCAATCACAGAAACAGTCACCATTTGCATGCCAATATCAGTGCAATACAGTGAATTCAATGTGTGCCCTGCGTTGTAGTAGTGTAGTAATTATTGAAACTGATTTGTTACATTCCCTACACTGATCTACACTATAGTAATATCATGAGGCTACAGAGAAGTTTTTTCCACTTACAGCAGTGTAAGATATACACATATGCAAGCAATAACTTTCCTTTGGCTGCGTGTTTTTCAGGTGTTAATCTGACCGAGGGACAGAAAGTAACGGCGGTCGTCCTTCATGTTGACATCTTGTCTGCTTGTGTTCACGTTTCCATCCTTCCCAAGCTGTTGATGAAGAAGAGATCTGTAAGTCTTTTTTTCTGACTTGTTAAATACTAAAACACATTTTCACATTAACTCAGTTGGATTACTTTGAAAGCTCCACTTGTAAATTACATTTTTTTTGTAGTTTTTCATTATTGTGATTGCAGTGTTTTGATTTTCTATTCATAGTTGACTGAAGAATCAAAACACACAGCGATGGTACAGTTCATAGACAAAGACTTTGCTGTCGTCTCACTGGACAACACGGCACAGCTGACTGTGATCCAAACGAGCAGCAACCTGAATGATGTTTTGCTGTCTGAATCAGAGAAGCTGAAGGCTGGTATGACTTTGGCAGTAGAAGTTTTAGAACCTAGCTGTGAGCAGATCCAAGGGCTCCCCCTGGTGTCATGGGAGCGCAGTGCACCGAAGCGACAGTGCACGACCTCGGAGAGCCTGACTGGCTCCAACGGTCACTGCTTCGGTGAACTCCTGAAGGGGAAAGTGCGGACGGTGAAGCCTACCTGCATACAGGTGACGCTAGAAGATGGAAGCACCGGCAGCGTGCACGTGTCTGAGGTGATCGAGCCTGCAGAGGTGAGCCTGGGGTCCTTCCCCACGTCGTCGGTGAAGGTGGGCAGCGTGGTCACCGCCAGGGTCATTGGAGGACGAGAGGCCTCCAGTCATAGGTAAACGTAGCTCCTGTGGCTCATTTCACACGTTGTAAAAGACACATCTCAAGTGTTATTCTGCTGTTTTTATTCCATTCTCAACCAATAAATCCTTTTAATGTTAAGATGTTTTTTTGCAAGTAATTGTTTGTTTAAATTGTCTTGAACTTCAAATTAATCTAAAAATAAATTATTTAATTAAAGCTTTTTTGTTCCAGATTCTTGCCGTTCTCCCATCCCAAATTCAGATACACCATTTCTGAGCTCACACTTATCCCCAGGTAACTGTATAGTGCAGTTCACTGTATATTCTAATTAACCTGATATACTGCATGATAACCTGAATATCGGGTAATCCTAACTTATTGTGTCATGGCAGCAGCCTTTTGTTTCAATAGAAAGACTTCTACAGTAACTAATAATTGCAGTTGCAGTAATATTAAACCTGTTGTGTTGACTGCTTATGTGCTTTGATCTGTTTTCATCCAGCTCCTGCACATTTGATGGTTTATAAGTTTTTAATAATTTTTCTTTTTCTCTTTGTAGCAAACTGGACAAGAGTGTAGATTTCAAACCAGTTACAGCCAAAGAAAAACTCAGCAGTTATAAGGTCGGGGAGGAGATTACGTGCTTTGTATCAAAGGTAAGCTTTAGAGATTGTAATGTTTTGCCAGAAGTAACTTCATTTTTATCTTGGTAGTTTCTCTAAAACTTTAAATGATTGTACATTTTAAAAAAAACATACGATATGAATACAAAAGAGAAACAGAGGAGTTATAGAATACAAGAACTCTGGCTTGCCTTCTTTCTTTCATAGTTAATGTGTTTCTGTCTCAAGTTTCATCCAGATAGAAAGTGTTTAGAAGTCACCACTGATCCTTCTGTTACTGCGACGGTTGAACTACTGGCAATGATCACCGATCCTAAGGTAAGCTGATACAGCTGCTTTGTTCACATTGTTTCATTTCATTTTCATCACAAAATTCAAGTCTAGAAGGACTTTTAAAGTTGAAGGGGATAAAAAAACAAGTTTTGATTAAACCTTATCCTGCTTATTTTTAGGATGCCAGCCACCCACAAAAACTGTACAAACTGGGCCAAGCAGTCCGCGCTAAAGTGGTAAACGTCACTTCTAACCGCATTATGCTGTCGCTCACAGGTAGGAGCAGATCAGACCGTATGTTTTATGTGTTATTTTTATTACTGCTGACACTTCTGTAATCTGTGTCACAGAAATAGTTTTAATTCAATTCCTTGTTTCTTATTGTCTCCCAGGTGCCCATGAACTAGAGAAAGGCAGCACTGCTTTGGGAATAGTGACTAATATTCAACCACAAGCAGGTCTCCTGGTCAAACTTCCCTTTGGCGGCAAGGGGACTGTGTCCATCACTGACCTTGCTGATGCCTACAAGCCAAATCCCCTGGATGCGTACAGCAAGGATCAGCTTCTCAGGTCAGTAGATGCAGCAGCAAGCTCTGGATGAAGTTTCTTTTAATATGTACTGCATTCAGCTTAAGGTAGATTAGATACAGAGGAGGGATGATAATTTGAAACCCTGTTAATAATACACATGATACTATTGTAAATAATGACGCACCACTATTTATCTGGTTAATACACAACATACAGTACAGTCATAGCTACAGATTTGCTCTCCACCTCCCTACTCTTGTATTTTAAGTGTCATTTATTTGCCAAAAAAGAGACAAAACACACCAAATTAAAGATATATTCATGTTCTGATATATTCAGCCAAATTTTACGTACTGTTTTCTCTTTTTATTGAACCGTAGTTAGACTGTGTGAATCTGGATATAATAAACATATTCACTGTGGTTTAGTCGAAACAAATAATAAATGTTATTTGCCGTCTACTTGTCCTGGTTTTCATAGTGAAATCTTTCCCTATTTGGGGAGTCTAACTGTGGGCTGAACTAATGGGCAGAATATCAGTTATTGCCAGCTACGATCAAAGAAATTTTTATTACCACCAACTACCTTTAAAACTATGGGTTGACAGATGTTTGTTGTTTTTTTGTTGTTGTTTTTTTTTTGTTTGGTTGTTTGTGGTTGTTTTTAGATCCAATACTGATTATCAAGTAAGCAAAGAGACGGATCAAAATCTTGGTGTCAAAATTTTGAATAGCAAAAACTCCAATAGGTCTTTGTTTCTTTATGTTTTATATGCATAAATAAGAGACCTTTATCCTTCAATGTTGATTGGTTATAACTTGTGACTTGTGACCAATCAGATAGTGCTGTGGGTGGGACATAACAGTTGTGATAACCAGAAAATGTTGAATATCTGATCCAGTAATCACTCAACTCCTATTCAAAGCCCATTTTAGTTGCCTTAAAATAGATACAGAGTTAAATTTTTTCAACAATTTTCCTGAGGGACCCTACCAAAGGGATTAATAAAGTTATATCTAATCTAATCTAGTCTAATTTTTTGCCTATTTTTCTCACCCCAGGTGTTACCTTCTTGGTAACGAAAATGGCAAATGGCAGTTGTCTCTGCGTCCATCAAGGTAGGAGAAGGTGTAAAAGCTGGATTTGCAGGTTTTTGTCAGAGCTCTAGAGAACATGTGTCTCATTATTATGTGCTCCTCCAGGCTGAACCCACAGCAGGAGAAACTAGTAAAAGACCCAGAAGTGTTGTCTGTCGACAAACTGAAGGCAGGACAGATCATCAGAGGCTACGTGAAGTCTGTCGGAGAGCAGGGGGTCTTCATCAGGTGACTGAGACATTCATCCAGGACTGGATGTACAAGTTGCTTAGATTCAAAGGAACTTATAAAAGGGACTGCGGGTTGTTTTAGAAAATGTCAGCAGGTATCGCATCATGCCCTCTCTCCTCCTCATTATTTCTTCTAACATCTCTTTGTTCTATGCGCTTGTCTTCCAGGTTGTCAGGAAGCATCACTGGAAGAGCCGAACTTCAGCAGTCGACCAAGTACTTTGTTAACAACCATACGGTCCTGTCTGCTCACCTGCCTCCCAACACGCTGCTCACCACCAAAATCCTCAGGTAAAATATCACTGTTCAGCTCTGAGTTTTATCAGAAACTTGTAGAATTTGTCCAGATTTTTTTTCAAATTTCTGGAACTCTGTCACCAAAGTTACACATCTATCCGGTGTTTGATCAGGGCCAGAAAGCCTTGAATGTAGACTGTTAGAATTTTTTATTTTTTTTTAAAAATCATATCAGATATCAGAAATTGATTAGAGCAAACAGGAAGGCTCCAGTGACACAATGCAGATGACAAAAGATCCTTCTCAGGTAACAGCCACTTGTAGATCCATCTTTAAAGTCAGCAATTCCTTCTATTCTTGTCCTCAGTATTGATGAAGAGGAGGAGTTCATCAACCTCTCTCTGCTCCCCGTGGACACTGGGAAGTCAGACATCCTCCCAGAGTCTCTCGGTCTGCCACTGCGTCTCTTTGGAGAGGAAAAGAAGAAACATGATACAAAGAAAATGAAGAAACGCAAACTGTCTGAAGGGGAACAGGTAACAAGGCAACGTCAGTTTCCTGTCACTCCTGCATCAAGCTGTCTTTGTTAATATGTCCAAATGGTGCTTTTTTTATATGCTGGAAGACACATCTTGAGCATTTCCACCCTTAACTGCAGTGTAGTAAAGACCATCTAAAAAAAAACTGATTCAGACTTATAAGTTTTCATTCATAACAAATCTAAGGATCCAATCCTACAAACTTGTGGTGTGGAGCTTTCTGTGTCTTTATTCTTCTTCAGAATCGGTTTGCAGTTCAAACATGTACAGCTGAATTACACCAATAATACACTTTGCCAGTGTGTACCGTAGAGTAGCTTTACAGTGTTTGAGCAGAGTTGTAGGTGAGCTGGTGTGCTCTGGCTGCAGTTGGTGAAGAGGAGCAGGTGGAGAACTTCATATGTCTGCACATTCCAGAGGAAGCAGTGATGTGGAGTTACATCTAAGACATTTTAAGGCAGGAAGGGATTATTTTGATGGGAAATGCTTCTAAATACTTATCTTTGACACAAGGAGAACAATTTTTCGGAGTTAAGTCAGTAGCCCTGGAGGTTTTGAAGTTAATATTTATGCTTGATTCATTAAAGATACTGATACTAAAAGATTCTGCATTGATCAGTCATAAACCTTTATCATACTCTATTGCAGATGCATAGTTGCCCTTGTAGAAGACTACACAAAATTTAAGCTGAATATACACATGCAGACCTTTCCATACTTGCACATGCAGAAGATTAGATTAGCAGACACTAATCTAACTCTGTGTTTTCTCTCTGCTCTTCTTGGAATATGTGTATTGTGGTTTATTTAAGCCTTGATGTTAGTTTTCTGCTTCTTCATTTGCCAGAAACAAGCAGAGCCTGAGGTCCCAAAGAAGAAGAAGAAAAACAAGAAAGCAAGAACTGATGACAGTGACAGTGGAGTGGAGGTGTACTTCAGAGAAGAGGAGGAAAAGGAAGATGAAGAAAACCCTGTTCCTGCAAAAGTAAGCAGCCGCTCAGTAATATTTGCATTTCTTTACATGAAAGTAAACTTACTATGCAGAACTTGAAATTTTCATTTTCTCCTCCTCTCACTCAGCAGGTGACCTCCAGCTCAGCAGCTCCATCCAGACTGCAGGTGGCAGCAGGTTTCTCCTGGGACGTTGGACTGAGCTCCCTGAAACCTGCCGCTGCAGCACTGGACAGAGACTCCAGCGATGGAGAAGACCAAGACGTAAGCACTAAGGTGAGACGACCGTAAAGGAGCATAGGTGATCTAAAGGTTAAGATGGAACAGAACTTTTAACACAACTGTTTCCTCCATATCCAAAAATTTGAACTCTTATCTTACTATAAATCTTCTTTTCCTTTCTCTGTTTTGTCTTGAATCTACTCCTCTTGTCTCTTAGCCCCAGAAAAAGTCTCGCCATGAACTGGAGCAGGAGAAAAAGGCAGCGGAGAAGGCCTTGGTACAGAGAGAGACTGAGCTGATGGATCCAAGCCTGCGGCCCGAGGATGCTGCTGCCTTCGAGCGCCTGCTTCTCGCTTCACCCAACAGCTCGCTGCTCTGGCTCCAGTACATGGCTCACCATCTGCAGGCAACGCAGATCGAACAAGCTCGTGCTGTGGCTGAGAGGGCCCTCAAAACGATCTCCTTCAGGTAATTGATTAATACATACAGAAAAAAAACTTGAAATCAAAATAGTCATCAATTACAACAACATATGGGTGTATTTTTGTAACATTGTGTCCTGCATTGGTCCAGGGAGGAGCAGGAGAAGCTGAATGTGTGGGTAGCCCTGCTGAACCTGGAGAACATGTATGGCACTGCGGAGAGTCTGAAGAAGGTGTTTGAGCGGGCGGTGCAGTTCTGTGAGCCCATGCCAGTGTACCAGCAGCTGGCTGATATCTACGCCAAGTCCAACAAAATCAAGGTTCAGTAAACCAAGTGTTTAACTCACCTGAGCTACGTGGAATAAGTTGTTCTGTAGCCTCCAATGTTTCTGTCTTGTTTACCTTGTTTTGTGTTTGTATCCAGGAGGCGGAGGGCCTGTATAAGACGATTGTGAGGCGTTTCCGTGACAATAAGGCAGTGTGGTTCAGCTATGGCACCTTCCTGCTCCAGCAGGGTCAGAGTGACGCTGCCAGTGCTCTCCTGCAGAGAGCGCTGAAGAGTCTACCCTCGAAAGAAAGTAAGATGGCCTGCTCAAGCATAGACACATCATGCTTTATGTTCTTGATACTAGGAGAGTCAGATAAAATGCAGAGTCAGATGAACAAGCACTGGAGCATCGTGGTGAAAGTGGAACTGATCTGGAAGGAAAAGCTCTCGATTTATTGATCAATCAATGTTCCAACCCTCCCCCATGGTTATGAGCTCTGGGTAGTGACTTAAAAAGTGACACTGTGGCTAGAGACTTGTCAAAATTAGTTTCTTCTGTGGGGTGGCTGGGCTCGGCTTTAGAGATAGGGTAAAGAACTGGGACATCAATAGGGAGATCGGAGTAGAGTCACTGCTCCTTCATGTCGAAAGGAGCCAGCTGAGGTGTTTCGGACATCTGATCATGATTCCCCCTGGGCAACTTCCTTTTGAGGTTTTCCAGGGACATCCACCTGGGAGGAGATCCTGGGGTAGACCCAGAATTCGCTCGAGGGATTTCATGTCTCACCTGGCCTGGGAACACCTTGCGATCCCCCCGGAATACATTAGAGAAACACCCCTGGGGAGAGGGATGTCTGGGAAGCGCTGCTTAGCCTGCTGCCACTGTGACCCAACCGTGGATAA